AATGTGGATAACTTCATTCTTAGATTATATTCCATATGTCATGTTGTGGTCTGTTCACTTAGTCTGTGTAAGTCTTCTTGAAACTGCTTTGCTTTCTCTCAATTTGCATTCTCATCCAGTTGATGTCATCAGCAAATTTGGTAATATTGTAACCAGTCCTCCTTTCCAATATTTTCAAAGAAAACCTGTTCACAAATGTTATTACACCCCTGTGGAGCAGGTAGGACAGTTCTGCTGACTCAGAGATTGGGGCTGTGCTGAGAATGCTGATTTTATTTCCACACTCCACTTGCTGTTAACTAAATCTGAAGCTATGGTAGTATATGTCCCTCAATCCCATGTGCTGTTTTATTCATTAACCATAATGTGAAATGTTATTAAAACTTTACTGAAAATCCAAATGCATCTCATCCACTAGTTCTCCTTTATCAAAGCTGTGTCTTATCCTCAAAAAAAACTCCGTTTTCTCAGCTGAATTCCCTTTCTGCCAAATTTTACCATTCTTTTTGAAATATCACAATCTTAGTCAGTGGTCTAGCCAGTAGTGGGTGTGTTCAACTGCTATTTTCCAGACTGCAGAAACCTCTCCAGAATCTATAGAATTCTGAAAGAAATGCACAGTAGCTCAGTGGTTAGCGCTGCTGCCTCACAGCACCAGGGATCTGGGTTCAATGCCACCCTTGGACAACTGTGCAAACTCCACACAGACCCGCAACTGCCTGAGTTACCTCTGGATGCTGTGGTTTCCTCCCACAGTCCGAATATGTCTAGGTTAGTAGAATTGGCCATGCTAAATTGCCCATAAGTGTCCAAGGATGTGCAGGCTGGGTGGGTAAGCCATGGGAAGTGCAGGGTTGCAGGGATAGGGTCAGGAGGGGGATCCCGGGTGAGATGCTGTTCGGACGGTTGGAGTGGACTCAATGGGCTGATTGGCCTGCTTCCACACTGTAGGGATTCTGTGATTGTATGATCTCTAGACACATGTCTTTAAAATTCTGGGATGAGGCTCATTTGTATTAGGAGATTTATCAGTGCTCAACCCAGTTAATTTTTCAAGTATTACTTTTTTTTAACTTTGTCTCCTCAATTCCACATGCCCCTTGGCCATCTGGTATTTCTGGGAGATTTTCTGTATTTTCTTCCATGAAGACAAATGAAGTAACTATTTAGTTTTGCTGCCATTTGTGTCTTCGACTATTCATGTGGGTGTAGAAGAATTTAATGGGCCCAAATTTGTCCTAGCTAATCTTTTTATTTTCATATACTTAAAGATGCTTTTGTAGTCTGCCTTTGTGTCCCTTGCTAATTTGGATTCATATTCTGTTTTCCTTGTAATGAGTTTCCTGGTTCTCCTTTAGCAGTTTTTAAATTGCTATCATTCCTCAAGTTTAGCACTCTCCTTCTGGCATCCTTCCTTGTAAGACACTTGCTTTGGCCCCCTAATAGCTTTGAGCAATGAACAATTCCTAATCATGTTTTCTGCTCTGTGCTAACTCTTCATTCAACTCAAACTGATTCTACATCTAAACTGTGCTTCGACTACTGCACTGATCAAATCGCTTAGATGTGCTACCCCACCATTTTATTATACTTTTTGTCCATCCTGTCTAAATGCTAAATATCCCTTAATTCAAAGTCTTGGTCACCCTGTAGCCATGTCTTCATAATGGCAATTAAATCACTCATTTACTTCAATTTCTGTATTGGGATCAACCTTCTGTGAATGATGTATGCATCGAGTGTCCCTTTTTAATTTTTTTTAAGACATTTTTTATTTTGATCTTATTTGATGCTTGCCAGTACTTTCTCTGCTTTCTATTTTTGCTTCATTTCTCTATTTCCTTTAATCAGTTTTGTGACCCCCAATCCTGAGCTCCCTCTTGGGTTCCCATCTCCTTGTCACTCTATTTTAAACACTCCACAGCAGCACTAACGAATATCTCGGCCTGGACTAACATCCTTGCACTGTTGAGGTATATTTTGTCTCATCTGCCTTAGAACTGGAGCTAATGCCTCTGATATCTGATGTCCTCCTTGTTACGCTAGCTCTCCAGCTAAGAGTTCAATCAGTCAGTTTCTCTATTTGTGTATTGATTAGCATGTGGGACTGGATGTAGTCCTGAGATTACTTATTTAGATTTCCTTCTCTTCAGTCACCTTCGTAACTCTGCAACCAGGTCTGAAGACCTCATTGCGATTCCTGGGGAGGTCATTGGTCTGTGTGTGTGTCACAACAGCCCTTTAGATTTTTAAGTTGTGATTCAAGCAAAGACCTTGGTCCAAATAATCTGATGTCTCATTGTCACTCTGAGGTCGACAAGAATGTGATATCATCATCATCATCATCATAATCATAAATTAAAGAAACCAAAGGACTATTGAATGCACAGAAATTGTTCCTTTTTGCCAGTTTTCTACTTATAATATTTCTGCAGAGTTGTCTGTCTTAGTTGCAAATGAATATGTTCATGTTGGGTTATAAGGGCATATAGTTAGTTTTTCATAACAATTAAACCATGTTTTGTCGCTTATTCTAAATAAGTTTATAATATCAATTGTGATGACTAATGGAGAAGTGGGGCTTGATTACAAGTACACTCCTCCCTTCAGGGTTGTGACAAAGTGGAGAGAGGAGCACATGGTGATAAAGATTGTACAAAGAGTTACAAAAAAGGGTGTTTAAAAATAAACTTTGTAAGTCCCATTCCATTGCTCTATTTGTGTAGCCTGGCAGGTTTATTTTCCTTTAGTCACCTCAGGGCCGGGAAAGGTAACTGTTTAGGAGTTGTTAGGAAAAGGAAATGTAGCAAAGTGTATCAACAAAATTGAATTTGGAGAAGCTTTTGGGGACATGCAGTGTGAGCAAAGGGAAGCTGGAAGAAAATCTAGATTATGCATTGATTGTGAGGTCGATTTATAGGATTTTCTCCCAGTTAGGAGCTGGGAAGATGGCAGCAAAAGCTGTTCGAGTGAATCTTGGTGACGAATAGATCCATGAAAGGTTCAGACTGCTTATAGGTGTAGGTGAAGAAGGTTTGTGAAAGAGTTTTAAAGAACCGGTCTGTCATTGCTTGTTGTCATCATCCAGGAGAATTTTGACTGAGAATGAGACCTGACAGGAGTTGAAATTAAGTCAGTTAATATCAGGTGTACTCTCAATTATGACCCTTGGACTTAAGGTGAAAATGAACCAACATGTTAAGTGTCCAAATTGTCAAGGCAGTTGAGACTACATGAAAGGGAGATGTGAGTTTGAGTTAACTTGTAAATGAGTGGGGAGATTTGAGAGAAGGGTTGTGAAGTTGCATTAAGGTAGAATGAGATGGAAGTATTATATGTTTCATGAGTCATTAAGGTGTAGTTTGAAATGTGAGAGTGATGAGTTGCTTTGCTGATAAATCAGAAGTTCTCTAATTCCGAAGATTCCTATCTGACTTGAAATATTAATGCAATTTTTCTCTCCATGCATGCTGCCGGTTC